GTTCTATTTTAGTGCATTGTACATATATATCGAATAATTTTTAATATTACGTAATAAAATATTAATAAACGACTTCGCTCTTACGATCGTTGATTGTCGACATTGACTGGACAACGTCCACTCGGGCTGAACTTCAATGTTGGGTCCGTCCCTGCACACATACAAACGTTTTTCTTTGAAGTCTACATAATGAGTCTTGAATTCTATCTTAAAATACCAACGTTAAGAGGAAGTGTTTTACATCATAACATGTTGATTATTATTTTAATATTTATGCAAAGTAGGACGTGCCCACAAGAATGCTATTGTCTTCGAATCCAACATTTGAACTTTACGTGATAGAGTTGCTCATTTAAACTTTGGGTGCTTATGCATATTATGATTCTCGAAGTTGATTTCTGAACTTTATGTGATAGAATTGCCCTTTTAAACTTTGGGTTCTTATACATATTAATGATTCTTGAAGTTGATTTTTATTTTATAAGGTCAATCATTATGTCGTTACTATTATATTTAATTGATGTTACCTTTGTCACGGCAAGAATGTTATCTACAGTTAATTTCTGGCTTCTAATATTGCAAAATATTTTTTGTGTGACATCGCGGGATGGAGCTTAGATGGCACCCAGCTTTTTGGATTTCATTTTCTTTGCATTAGATATAGCCTCTCTAATACATGAATATTTAATTTCTATGTACCAGTTTGCCATCGAGTTGCAAAGGCTTTGAAGGGTGTGATGAGGGAGAAATTAATTCTATTACCTTTTCCAAACAATTAAATATAGAAAATTAGACGACTTATTGAACAATCGAGATTCGTGACATTACGATATCCTAAAGTAAAATTGTTTGTCATTAACAATTGCGACGCCTTTGAACAATTACTCATAGGATACAACGATCGAATCAATTGTACAGCAATCACAAACAATTTTCAAAACTCTCAAATTTTGTTCTAGAACAAAATAAAATCAAAATATTTCTAGAATTGATTTTGCCTATAAGATGTGATTGATTTCAACCCTGTTTATTTGTCATTTATTTCTCATTTCTAGAATAAATCTTACCGTTGCAACCTGGAGGAGCATCATTTTTTGACCAAAACGTGTCATGGTAGGTCCCAGTCGGTTAAAAATAATGGTCAAAATTTTTATTTTTTGCCAAAAATAATGGCAAACAAACAGGGTAAATCATCCCATTTTCCCTACAATTAACCAACATTCTCCAAAAAATCACAATTACAAAATCCATTTATTTATTTATTTGTGAAAAACATGGCTCAAACCTGGGCTGAGTAATTTGTTTGTAATATCTATTTGACTTTAATAGTATTCGCCTAGAATAACTCACATGCATTGAAGGAATGGTGGAGCGTAATATCGTTTAATATATACTCTTTGTTTCTATATTTTGTTTTATAGAATTAATTAAAAAATTATTTTTTCTCGTTTGAGAAATTTGCATTTTTCATCCTTCATTTTTGCAAAATGTAATAAATCTACTCTCAATCTTTTTTTTTTAACGTGCTCGATCTCGAAATTAAATTATGTAGCAACACTAATCATTTTCTCCACTTTCACAATAAATTGATTAGTTTGTCATTCTCTTTAAATAAACAAAGAAGGAAAAATAGGAAAACAACAAAAAATAAGTAAGAATTGCAAATGGAGTTCCATTTCTTTTCAAAAAGTATAATTAGCCCTTATTCGGTACTAATTAAAATCTAAAT